GGGTTGTTATGTTGGCATCTGTTATAGGGGGGGCTTCCTTCAGCTCCTGGCTCTGGGTTATCTTGTATCCTCGGTGTCTCTAGCTATGATTTTATAAACGGATGGATAAATTAGATCTTTTATTAATTACCACGTATCTCAAAGGGTTGGGAACAACTTGTAATTTGGCTCACTTTATCAGACTGAATTCACTCTTTGTTCCTCTCTCCAACCCTGGGATTGAACCTAGATCTATCTGCATGCTGGGCAAGAAGTGCCTTACCATTGAGATACAACCCCTGCTTTTCGGACTGAGCTGATGTAAATTCTAGTGCCTGCAATGTGGCTGGATAATCAAATGGTAGCCACTTCTTAGCTTTCAAATTCTACCATAGAGGAAAGCATGCAGGGAGCGAGGTGCCTTATCCCTCCCTCCCTTTCTTTTTGTAACTAAGTTACTTACTTAGGGGTTTCTTTGGCTTATAGTTCCAGAGGGAGAGTCCAAAATAAGGGGGCGGGGCTACGACAGTAGGCAGGCGGAGCAGGAAGCGAAAGGTCCCGCTGTCAATCACGTGCAGACAGCCCAGAGAGAAAACTAGAAGGCTGTGAGCTCTCCAAGCCTGCTCCTGGGGAAGTACTTCCTCTGGCAAGACTGAGCTTGCCAGAGCCTCAAACAGCTGCCTGTGGGGACCAAGGGGTCAAGGTGAGTCAGTGGGAGGCCTCCCATACTCAACCACCGACTTCACTGGCGGGAAGCCGTCTTCTCTGTGGCTGAGTTTGACTTTACAAAGATCTACAAGGTCCCCTCATGTTTGAAGCACGCACTCCTGCATGGCACATGCACATACTACAAATAAGCAAGTAAATGAATTTCTTTTTCCTGAGAGTTAAAAACCTTTTCTCTGAAGACTTAACTTTATTTTTAAAACAAATTCTGTGTATGCGTTCGTTCCTGCGTGTGGGTGCAGGTGCTCGCAGAGCCCAAGGGTGTCGGATGCTTTGGCGTTGGAGGGATAGGCGGTTGCAAGCGACTGGACATGGGTACTGTGAACTGAACTCGGGCCCCCTGCAAGGGCAGTACATGCTATTAACTGCTGAGCCGCGCCTCCAGACTCTGGAGAAATTCCCCAAGGAAGCAAATTAGGAATGAAATATTCCATTTTAGCAGACAAGGCTAAGGGGCAAAGGAAGTCAGGGAGTCACCTTCTGTCTCCTTCCTACGCCCCAACCGCCAATGCCCACTGCTTATCGCTCCTCCTTGTAAAAACCTGTCCGAGCATGAGAAGTCTGTTGGGTTCATAAAGTGCCTCAGGTAAGCTTGAGGACAGGGGATCCATCCCAGCAGTGGGGGATGAGACCGGAGGATCCCTGGGCTCACTGAGCAGCCAGGCCAACTGAATCATGAGTTCCCAGGTAATGTGAAACCTTGTCTCAAAAAAATAAAAATGTGGATGGTACCTGAGGAACAATATTCAGGGTTCACACACACACACACACACACACACACACACCCTCCCTCTGGGCTCTCTGTGCTTTCTTCATGACCTTCTGTCTCTCTAGAACCACTGTTACTGTACGTTCTAACAAACAGCTTCATTGAGAGATATTTCACATACCATTAACTCCCTTGTTTTAAAATGTATAATCCAATGGCTTAGGGCACATTACATTATTAAATTTCTAAAGCTATGATGCACTTATACAATAAAAAATTTCCCGTTTTAACTGTTTTCAATTTTACAACTCAGTGCCTGTAATTACTCCGTTGCCACAGATTCCAGAACTTTAAAAATCATCCCAAACAGAAGTTCAAGAACTCATTAAGCAATAACTCCTGAGCCACCCCTTCGGGCTCCCTGCTCTAGTCTACATTCTGCCCTGTGACCGTGCTGACTAAACGCCTCCCGTACGCCGACTCATGCACAGTCCATTTGTCTGGTTCGTTTCTCTTAGCATAATGTCTTCAGGGTGCATTCATGTTGCAGCATGCGCCAGAACGACTCTCCTTTTTATTGCCAGATGATAATCTGCATTTTGTTCGTCCCTCCATCCACTGTGGGCACATGGATTGCTTCCGTCTTCTTACTGTTTCAAACAATGAATACTGCTGTGCAAGTGTCTATCCCAGTCACTGATTTTGAGTCTCTGGGGTGCATACTCCATGAGGCTCCCTTCCCCCCTTTTATCCAAGACATGATATCTCTATGTCCTTAAGCCGACTCAAACTTGCAATCCTCCTGCCTCAGCCTCCTAAGTGCTGGGAATGCAGGCATGCACCCTCACACCCAGCTGGACCAACTGTTGATGCCCCCAATTTATTTTTGCTCTTTTTCACCTCACGGTGTTGGGGAACGACCCAGGGACTCGAACAGTCTAAGCAAACGCCACTGAGCTGACCCCTTGGCCTTATCCATAGGGACATTTCTACCATTATACGCCAGCTCTCACTACTTCTCTGTTCACAGACCTTTGCCCCTTGTGGTCTGAGATGATTCTGTCCACAAAGCATCCGAGTTTGAACCCCAGAACCCACATGATTTAAAAAAAAAAAAACATGGCAAACTAGATCTCTGGGAATATACTAGCAGGGTGATAAAGACAAGTAGACCCTTGCTCACAGGCCGGCGAGCCTAGCCTTCTTGGGGAGTTCCAGGCTGGGGAGGGGCCCTGCCTCAAAAAGAAAAACGAGTAGATGACGAATGACCCCTGTCCTCCTCGTGTATGTGCACACGTGACTCCCACACACATACCCATACGCGTTCAGATAGTCAGGCAACTGCTTAGCCAGGCCTTCAGAACCTGAGCTGGGGCCTGCCATGGTCTCCACAGTGCTGGTCACCCCCTTCTTCTGTGCTCTAGACATCCTAGACTTTCCTCCCTTCTCCTGCTCTCAGACTTTACCCTTCCTGTCTCGCTGCCTTCCTTTAGGATTTCTGTTGTTATTTAGTTAGGTGTCGTGTATATGTACACACATGAGTGAGACAGAGGGATGCTGGAATCCCTGGAGCTGGAGCTGCCAGATGTGGGTGCCGGGAATCGAACTCAGGTCCTCTGCAAGAACAGTGTGTGCTCTTAACCACTGAGCCACCTCTCCAGCTCAAGGTCCTCTTTCTAAAACGTCCGCACGCTTCCAGATCCCTAGGTCTTGCTAGCTTTCCTGCAGCGGCCAGCTCTTCCTATCCTTTTCATCTATCTAATCGCAGAAAGTTTCCCCAGTGTCACCCCCCCACACACCCCGGTCCTCTATCGCTCTGCTCTGCTGTGTTCCGTCAGCCTCTTTTATGACCATTCACCTGGCCTGAACGGCCCAGTGTCTTGTCTTTCCTGCTATAGTGGTGACTCCTGTGAACTGAGCATCTACCGTGTGTCCCAGGCTGTTTCACATACACGTCCTGCATTGCCTCATCACACGCTGACAGCATGGGAGAGGCAGGGTTGCTGTCACAGCACGGCATCTGGGAACCATGGCAACCCTAGAGTCACCCATCAGGGAGCATGCTACCCCTCCCCCGTGCCAGCCAGCCATGCCTGTGGTGCTGGAGGGACTTGAAGTTGGAGCCCTCTCTTCCCAGTGGTCCCTGTGAGTTGAGCAACCGTACCTACTCTCCCAGCCTCAGTTTCCCGGATGTAAGATGTCCATATTGAACTTACATCCCACGGTTTATTGAGGCTGTGCTTTAAAAAAATGTGCGTGCGTGTGTGCGTGCGTGCGTGCATGCGTGTGTGTGTGTGTGTGTGTGTGTGTGTCCTGTAGAGGCCAGGTGTCCCTTGGAGCACAGAGATTCAGGTTGGTTGCAAGCTCCCAGCACTGGGTACTGAGATCTGAACTTCCGTCCTCTCGAAGAACAATGAGCTCTGGTAGCCTCTCAGCCATCTCTCCAGTCCAAGGCTCTGCTTTTGTTTTAACGTAGTTTTTGTTGTTGTTTGTTTAAGTTCATTGATAGCATTTTCTGCCCATCCTCAGGATCTCCATTTGGCCGACCTAGCCTCCGCAGGGTGTGCGGCGGCTGTCATCCTCTTTGGCCCAGGTCTGAGGCAGTGCCACAGGGAGGCAGAGCGTCCGCAGGCTTGTTGGTCTGGCCTTGGCACTCTGTGCTCTGCTCCGGGAGTCGGGGTGGAGCTGTAAGCCTGGCCCCACCCTTGGGCCTCCTTATCTACGTTTCCGCGTCAGGCGCTGGGTGAACTTGGCAAGCCCTCCCGGCGGTGGATGGGGAACACTTTGTGCCCAGCGCCCGCCCGCTGGGCCCTCCTCCTTCCCGCCGGCGGCGCCGCAGGGCCTGGACGCCTGCGCTGTCCATAGGTCTGGGGTCTTTGGAACCCGAGTACCTTGCACCTGGGCCGCAGCTCCAGGACGCTTTGTCCCCAGCGTCGTCACCGACATCTTGGTCTACAGGCGTCCAAATGTGTGGACACCGCGCGTAGTCAAGAGGGTCATATAGATGCCTTGCCCCATTTTAAAACAAAGCTCAATTATAAGCGCGCAGCGGCCTGTTTATTCCAGCCCAGGCTCAGATCCCCGAGTGCCGCTGTCAAATAGCACCCAGGGGAAGCTCCATCCGGACAAAAAGAACGGGGTCCCGAGCCAAGTGACCCGTTAGAGACCCTCAGCTCGTTCGGGTGCATACTGCATGAGCCTAGGCAGATAGGCAGGGTTGGTGGAGGACTCAGTCTCCCATTCGGTGTAATGGGAAGTACTGTATGCTTGGTGACTGTACCTCACGCAGAAGGTGCCTCTGTCTCCGGGACCCCCGTCTTCCCACGGTCCCCGCTCCCTGCTGGCCAGGGCTGCACGCTCTGCGCTGTCTCTAAAGTGCGTCACGGACCGCACCGGCCGCGCTGCTCCACCGGCCTGGGTGAGGTTGGCGCCCGGCCAGCGCAGGCTGGGCCAGCAACGCCTGGGCCATCATCACCCCGCCTAGAGAGCCGGGCGTAGAAAGCGCTCAAGTTGCGCAGCACCGGGATCGCAGCCGGGGACACTCTCCGCTAGGGGCTCAGCGCCCCCCATCGGCCTCGGCAGCCCTCTGGGGCACGAGGTGACACCCCCTCGGATCCTGAGGCGCGCAGAGCCCCAGAGATTTCTTCAGGATCAACTACGCGGCGGCCTCCCCGGGCTCCTTGCCCCGCCCCGGGTCTCCGCCCCCTCCGCTTGGCTAGGGATCCTGGACCCGGCGGCGACCGCCTAAGAAGCTCGGGTAGCCCGGACCGGGAGGCGGCTGGCGGCCGCGGAGCCACTGGCCACCGACTCTCCCCGCCATGTGACCCGGTCCTCCTGCCTGCGACCCCAGTGCCAGCGCCTGCGCCCGGCCGCGCTGAGCATCATGCTCCTGCCGGGACACCCGCGCCCGCCGCCCGCGCCCCAACCCGCGCAGAATCCCGGCCTCCGCAGGCAGGTAGAGCCTCCGGGGCAGCTACTGAGCCTCTTCTACTGCACCGTCCTGGTGTGCTCCAAAGAGACCTCGGCGCTCAGCGATTTCTCCGGTAAGAGTTCCCTTGCTCGCCTCGAGCCCACGTCCCCCTCGCTGTTGCCCAGGTGAGGCATAGGCTGGGGGCTGACTCTGCAGGGGGCACGGCCTGGTTGGGTTAAAGTTTTCTTGACCGGTGGGAGCCCTTGGAGTTTAGGCGATGGTAGCATGGGAAGCATCTTTCCCTAACGATGGACCTGTAAGCTTTTCGAGTCGTTCACGGTACTCTTGACCTTTGCTAGTTTTCTGGACATCAGCGGCTCAACCCTGACCTTCATGTGTTCGCTAGAGGATCCCTAAATTGAGTCCTGTACCACGCCCAGCTCTGGAAGACAACCGTGTTCTGGGCGATAAGGGTGCGTCCCAGCCAGCCTCCAGGGTACCCATGTAAGGAGTCTAGTCCAGGGCACGCTGGACCTGAAGTCCAAGCCGGTCTCTAGAGAGGAGCCTGGGAAGACGGGAGGTCTAGTGGAGATGCCTTGAGAGACTGACAGGACCTGACAGCAGAAATACTCAAAGGCATTAATTACTTTACAGCAAAAGGTACCAGCACTCCCCACGTGCCATGAGCCCAACACACACACACACACACACACACACACACACACACACACACACCCTGACTTCCTCCTGCCAAGTCAAGGATCAATGCTTGTCTTTGTCGAACTCCTCCAACCTCAGCAAAAGATCTTAGCAAGCAGTGAGGCGGCAGGTGGCAGGTGTGGCAGTGGTGGTTTTTTGGTGACAAATGTCTTTACCGTTTAACAGCCCCATCTGACCTCTCCATTTATTTAGCATCTTTCTCCATTACTCCCAGGACCATCTCTGTGACTCTCCTTTCCTCTTCCTCTCGGGACCTTGCCCAGGCTGGGCACAGACTCTAACAAGCCCCTTGCTACAGGGTCCTTTCTTCCTCCCTCCCTCCCTCCCTCTCTCTCTCCCTCTCTCTCTCTCTTCTCAGTATAATCGTGGTAAACAGAGTCACCCCTCACTTCTGCATGTGTGACAGGCTACCAGGCAAAGAAACATGAAGAGCAGACGTAAGCTGGGTTTCTGGTTTGCTTACAGAGAATGTCATTCATTGTGAGCTGAGAGCCCTTAGGTCAGAGGTTCTTTGCTTAGAATATTTAATATCAAGGCAGTGTTCCTGCCCAGCCAAGGAAGCAAGATATGCTTGTTTGGCAAGCAAACTAAGGCCCTTAAAAACAAGCCAGCCACAGAACATCAAAACTCTGGTAAATGTGCTGGGGGAAATTTGTTGTTGTTGTTGTTGTTTTGGTTTTTTAAGCACTATTGATGTCTTTCTTTTTCTGTACCAGAACTTTCTTGACTTCCAGAAACTTTCTGTATTTGCTCATTTCAGCTATGGCGAGCAGCTCTGAGATTTTAGTCAGTGCCCTGCCCTGATTATTGGAAGGAAAGAATTAAAAGCTGGAAAGAAGAAAGTCGCCCCCCCCCCACATCATTGCAACCGAACAAATATTGCTTTAGGCAAATTGCAATGAAACTCCCCACAACCCCCAGATTACAGACTTTTAGAGTTTGTTTCTTGAGGGAAGTAGTTACAGTACTAACTATGTAGGTTATCACACACGTCTGGAAATTAACTGTGCATAGCAGCGACGTACAGTAGATCTAAGCTGTACACAGGGAGGCGACATCCTGTAGGGAGCAGGTGTTTGCATGATGGTCCTGAGCTAGCAAGATTGATGGATGGCTTTCCCTCTGCCTTCCTCCAGATCAGGGCTTTCTAATTCCCAGAGCCAGCAGCAGGTGGTGGCTTTACCAGGCCACCTCGCCTTCCCTTGCTGTAAAGAAACACATGGTCCTGTGTTCCCAAACCACAGGCACTCTTGGGTGTAAACCCACCTTCTAATATGTGCGAAGGGGGAGAAACTCTAAAAAGCCTCAGGGAGAAAGGAAGGTGAAGTTTTCCAGTGTTGATGCGTTTAGCATTAACCCGAAGCAAACCCTCCAATCATACACTAGAGGGAAAATCGCAGGCTCCCAAAAGGACAGTTTGAGTGTTCAGTGAGTGTGTTGGCCTCATTGATTGATCCTCTGTGGCCTCAAAGGGTACTGGCTGCTTTCCTGGGGACAGGCAGCCATGTTCCCTTTCTTGAGTTTGGCACGGGTATAGGAGGGGAACGTAAATAGTGGACTGTCCCCTGCGGAGCTGTATTACAATAGCCCGGGGACAGGGAGCTTGAGGAACAACACAGACACTTGTTTTCTGAATAAGAGAAACATGAAAAAGCTGTGGAGGGGAGAGGGAGGTCAGGACCCCGGCCTTGTGAGGAAGAACAGAGGATAGATCCATGGGAAAAGTCCTAGAAAGCTGGAGGCCCCCACCCGAGCCCCCACCCCACCCCCACCCCATCAGAGTCCTACAGTGAAGAACATCCCTGCACTTTGAGGACATTACCTAACGTCTACCCGCCTTCACAGCACTTTCCCAGGCTATTGCCCAACGCCTTCAGCTGGCGTCATTTTTCCTGGGTCATTGATTTTTTCTTTCTTTTTTCTTTTTGGCCTAGAGATTCTAGCATTAGATCTCCCAATAATCCGGAGGCTGCATGGTGGCCCTTTCTCCCCCTGCGCTTGTGACTTGAGCTAATAATCATCCCCAAGCCTGCTGAGGCCCAGGCTCCCTGATACTCTCTTCTCTCTGAAGATTTGGGGCTTCCAGGCAGTAGTGGCCACTGAAAAGCTACCACCACTGCATTAAAATGTATCAGTGGGTAAAGGCACTTGTCACCAAGCCTGATGACCTGAGTTTGAAATCTGGACCCACACGGTTGAAGGAGAGCACACACCTCTAACCCCAGCAGAAGCAAGCAGATCTCTGTGAGTTCAAGGCCAGCCTGGACTACAGAGTGAGTTCCCGGACAGCCAGGCTACACAAAGAAACCCTGTCTTGAAAAACAAAAACAAAACAACAAAATAAGAGCACTGGCTGCTTTCCCACAGGACTGGGGTTCAGTTTCCAGCATCTGCTTGTAGTAACTCCAGTTCCAGGGTATTCGAGGCACTGGTCATGTCTCCTCAGACATGCGCGTGGTACATGCACATACAGGCAAGCAAACACACACACACCTTTTTAAAAGTCTTTTTAAAAAACTCTTAAATAAAATATGAGCTAAAATACTTCTTTAAAGAAACCACTTGAGAGGCAAGGCCTTTAGGATTAACATTTGGCCTCCGTGGTTGGCTTAGAGGCAAATGACATCTCACTTATATGTCCTGTGTCCTCATCCCCTCTTCGAAAGCCACCAATCAGATTGGGTCAGGCCCCATGTGAATGCCTTTATCTTAACTTAAACAACCATTCTAACGTGGATCTAGGGGATGCGCAAATCCATCTGTAACACAGGTCACCTGCAACCCAACACATAGGCCTGCCTCGAAGTGCCATGTTTCACTGGCCAGAATTTCAGGGTGTGATACAGTGGATATTAGGAACGGAGTCCTGAAAAGGCCACACATAGCTGTCCTTTTTCAGGAAGCTAAATTTTCCTGATCTGCACCCAGGCAAACAATGTGTAACCCTAGCAGTATCTAGAGTGACCTCAGGGACTAAATGCATGGTGTTCGGTTGTAACCCAGGGCTTCTGATTGAGATGACCCGCAGACACCCAGACATCCATGGGTTCTTCTAAGATTTCCTAGGCAATCCCATGGTGCAGTCCATTGAGAAGCACTCTGCCAATGGCCACAAACAGAGATACCTCTTACTCATATATCAGCCCGCTCAGAGCACGGCTAACTGAGGTCCCTTCCCCAGTAGCCCACAGCACACCCACCAGGAACACCCGGCCTGCATCTTGCCAGCCATCACCACCTCCCAACACCTACGCGCACACACACCTATGTACACACACCCCGTCTGCATTTTATTATGCCTCAGTTACATTGTCCTTCAACCTGGGAGTGATCGTCACTTAAAAAGCAGTGCTAGGGCTTGAAAAGCCAGCTCTGAATGCCTGACGTTGTCTGGCTCTCCTGGGAGAGGAGGGGAAGAGCAAGGGTCTCAAACTGCCTGTCTGTTTCCCTGGAAAGCAGCTGCATCCGAGAAGTACCGCACCAGCCCCTTGTGCAGTAAAGATGTCTCTGCTCACAAGTGTGCCGTTATTGATGGCTGTGGTCTCCCGGGTGCTGTGCTGGAAAGGGCAGCCTAGCAGCAGTCCCGGGGAAAAGACAGAGAAGGAATGGAGTTCATTGAGCTCAGTGTCATTTGATTTCAGCTCTGTAGCAACCCCTGGGTGAGTATTACAGCCTCATTTACAGACACGAACTTGGCCTTGGATAGGGCAAGTAACCTGCTTAAAAGCCCCAGCTTGGAGAACAAGAGCTTCCCCAATATTGAGCTGGGGCTAACCTAGGGGACTTGTCAAACAGGACAACAAAAATGCATCTACACTTTGCCTAGCCTTTCTAGATAGTTCCTGGAGTGACCATTGCTGTCTCAGGTGTCTACTGAGGAGACACAGCGTCCCGTCACAGTGGTTGCAAAGAGACTGTAGCTATGGGAGACACCCACGATTGTTCTGGTCATCTCTCAGTTTCTCCTGAGGAGTGATTCAGGGACCCCCATGACATCAAATGCTCCTTCCTTGTCTTCCTTCCTTCCTTCCTTTCTTTTTTTTTTTTCCTAGACAGAGTTCTCTGTGTAGCTTTGTAGACCAGGCTGGCCTCGAACTCACAGAGCTCTGCCTGCCTCTGCCTCCCGAGTGCTGGGGTTAAAGGTGTGTGCCACATCACCAAACTCAAATGCTCCTTTCTATAATGCCATGTTGTTTGAGTATAAACTACACAGCTCTTGTCGTAGGCTTTTAGCCAATGTGTACCATCCCTAAAACAGCCAAAGCTCTACCCAGATAGTGGTTTATATTGTTAAGAGCATGATCACAAGAAAAATGAATCAGTACTCATGCAGAACAGGCACAAGCTCTCTCTCTCTGTGTCTCTCTGTCTCTCTCTGTCTCTCTCTGTCTCTGTCTCTGTCTGTCTGTCTGT